TCTCGAAAAACCAAAAAAAAAAAAAAAAAAAAAAAAACCTACTCTCTGCAATGGCCTGTTTCCCAAAAGTCAGAGCTTCCTTCTGCAGATCCACCAACTCAGCCTCTACCAACCAGTCTATGACATGCTAGCCCCAAGATGCCCTCAGGACCTGGTGCCACCACAAGCCTGGGTGCTGATTCTGATGATGCCCATGCCCACTTTATATTCCCCTTTGCAGTTTGAGGGAAGAGACAGGAGACCTCCAGCTTGTGTGAAACTGCCTGCAACCTGTCAGTATCGTGGTGCATGGCTTGCTACTTGCCTTTACCTGTTTGAATAAAAGTTCTGTTTTAGTAAAATATCTTAAAAGAACAATTAAAATGGTTGAAGGATTTATGCTGAATGTGTGAAGTCTGAGTTGAGGAATCAGAAGCAGAGAGGAGCAGAAACATTTTTTTTCTATCTCTATCTTAGTAGTGGCACTCATGCTTTTACAGTACAGTTTTTACCATCTTTCTTCCTGGTCCATGGTTTAAAACAGCCACCCATAGTAAATTACTATTCCCATCAAAAGCATCCCCCCCCACATGTACACAACAAAATTTTGCACCATCTGAAAAGGTGCATAAATTACAGGAGCATCGCTGTTTCATTAATCAAAGATGACTCTGACCATGGGGGAAAGAATTAGAAACTCGTATACTATCCTCGGCAGTGGGCACTGAAGTCATGAACTCATGGCAGATAAGCAGAAGACCCACCATGGAGGCCCATCTCTATGGCTGCTGAGCCATGCTGTTCTGCCCAAACCATGAAGGAGCCACAGTCTATGGCCTCTCTGGTGGTTAGCCCACTGGGGGTCGACACCACTGAGCTGTGGCACTGTGATTCTCTCTACCCAGGAACTTTAACTTAGCTCCTGATAATCAGAGAAGGGTAATTCAGTGCCACTAGGATGTCCGACTAAAGGCAACGTTTATGTGAAACGCTGGCTTCCTCCGAACACTTCCAGAGGTTAGGCGAGTTGCTCTGACTTAAAGGTCACAACAGAGAGTTTTCTATTTTCAAGGGAATGGCTCCTTCCACTGATACAGAGCACTTCAAGAGTCCTCACCCTTTTCTAGCATAGGTAGGGAATTTAATATGCTCCCCTCTTTGTGCGCACCTGCCGCAAAACTGCACAACACCGGATGCCCGATCCGTACAGACTGTGAAGCAATCGCCTCCCCTGCACAACACTCCAGCAACTGGTACCAACGGGAAAGCTGAAAGTCCATTGGAGCTGGAGCTGCTGGCTCACTACTGCAGTCTTCTCCATCCATCCATCCATCCACACACAGCACCATCCAATTTCTTCTTCAGGCTTATTAAACAGATGGTTAACTAACAAAGAGTCTATGAATTACAGCCATAAACCCAAAGGGGGATGCCACAGTTTTGACTTCAAGCCTCCCAAGCAAGACAGCTTGGCATAGTGCTAGGCTTCATCAGCTACCTTGTTTCAAAGAGAATATAGATGGATAAAACAAATGTAGAAGACAAATTTACATGGCAGCCCCATCTAGAATGAAGAGTGGCATTTGCCTCTAAAATCACATACTGATTTTCTTCAAAGCTATTATTTTTGAAAGTTAGAATATAGAAAGTAGCTATAATGTTTAAGTAAAACGGAAACATTTTACCTGCTTTTCTAAGATCATTAAAAAACTAGCCAACTCTCCCAATTTAACTATATCCAAGTCTGACTGTAGGAAATCCAAGTTTTAGATTTCCAGGCTTAAGACAAGGAAAATCTCTCCAACTCCCTGTGTGCATGTAGATAGAGATATATATGTGGACCGAGATATGCAGTGACGGAATAACTGATGAAACCGTACTTGCTCACACATTATAAATAGTTGCTGCATATTCAGTTGTGGGCTTTGGGACAGGAGGATACTCTCCACGCTTTCATTCTTTGCTGTAGTAGTCCCGATGTTTCAGATCCCAGACCTAACTAAAGTGATCCTGACACTCTCATGGGAAAGACTGATCATAATACCCAAACATGTGGTCTATTGCAGGACTGGAGACCAAAGGATAAACCTATCATAGCAGCTGTACAGCCAACCGCTTAGATCATGGAACCGTCCAGCCTCGGGGGTTATACATAACTGTAACAATGAAACCAAGATCTGGTGTGGTGGTACAAGTGTGTAACTCCAGCACCAAGGAGGGGAGGTGGGGGGACCGGGAGTGTAAGCTCACCCTTGGCTTCCCAGTGAATTGGAGGCCAGCATGGGCTACATGAGTCCCCATCTTTAAAAACATAAATAAAGAGCAACGAAATGAATACCAAGAGTTACCAACTTGGAAGTCTCTCAACATAGGCATCTTCCAGCTTCTGCTGACCCGGAGCTTCCCAATGCCCAGGGATATCACACCAGAACCTTGAACAGGTACTCACAGACTTAGCAGAGCACACTCGAAGGAACACAGGATTGGTAACGGCTGGGGAGTTCTCCGGGGTAGAGAGGCTGACTGACAGCACATGGAGGACAGAAGTGGGAAACTGAGGGAGAGACCAGGCTGTGAGGGAAGGTGTAGGCCAGGCTGAGAAGTCTAGAGTTAGGAGCACACCTCTGCTCCAGTGTTGTGTCCTCCCCTGTCCCAGGAGGCGGCAGAGAAAGAGATGCGGCCGCAGGCTTTACTAACGCTGGGTGAGCGTGTCTCTCCCACCCCACCCAGCTTGCGGGGTGAGTGTAATTTTCTACTACTCAGTTTGCAATCATCTGTGAGTGTTCCTTTGCCCCCTGCCGAGCTCTTACTGCACTTTAGCATGTCCTCCTGCTGGACTGGCAGGCAGCTCAGGGAGGTAGTGAGCCCTGTGCCTGAAGCACACGGGTGCTGGTGTGCCGCGAGATGGATGAGGGCAGCGGTGAATGGGGCAGGGACAGGGCAGCGGTGAACGGGCAGGGACAGGGCAGCGGTGAACGGGGCGGGGACAGGGCAGCGGTGAACGGGGCGGGGACAGGGCAGCGGTGAACGGGACGGGGACAGAGTGCCTAGTGACCTGACCGCACTCCTTCCTGTATGAAGAGTGGTGTGTGTGTGTGTGCATGTTGGATGGGGGGAGCAAAATGTATAGAGACCATACTCCCCTGCAAACTCAATCAACAATTAACCAGAAGCCCATTTACCTCTTTAAATTTAGTCCTGAGGGCTTCTTTTTAAAATAAATGGCAGACATACTATTGAGAAATTTTGCTTCTTCTTCATGAATCACTTTTTGGTGATTCTTTTCATTTTTAAAAAAGGTGAATAAACTCAACACTATGCTCTGAAATATATGAGTAATAATGAAAAGAATTAAGAGGTGATCAAGGAGGCTAAAGAGGTAGTCCAGTGAATAAGGATACCATGTGAAGTGGGAACACCTGATTCAAATCCCAGGCACCCACATGAAGGCCAGGCAGGGCCAGCTACCTGTAATCCCAGCACTGAAGGGAGGAGAAAGGATGATCCCAGGATAACAGAAACACTTAAGTGAGAGATTCTGTCCCCTCACCCAAAAACTGGAAAGTGACGGGGGAAGACACCCAGCATCCTCCTCTGGCCTCTACACACACACACACACACACACACACACACACACACACACACACACACACACACACACACACACACAGTGACTGAGTCACTGAAATTCTCCCAACTACTGCCATAATCCTATCTTCTAGGTGATGAAGGAGATTTAAGGGCCGTGAGAAATTCAAGACTTAAGGCATTATTTGGGTGACTTTTTAAAGGGGAGACTGGGGGATAACAGAGGTGAGTTTTCCCCCGTCATGGTGTCTTCACTCCTCTTTCAGCCCTTTCCACGACCTGCAAAAGGTTCACAACGCTCACTGACCTGTCAAAACCATCTACACAGCACTGGACACGCAGCCCTGTCTGAATGGCTCCTTTCTGCTCCAGTGATCACAGCTCTATTCAGTCACAACTAAAGTGGGACCTCAGAGCTGTGCGTGCCGTGATGTCAGTGGCAACAGAGGACACAACAGCCATTTGATAGCAACGTGGATATCAAGCCTGTCAACGGGGACACGTGTTCCTTCGGCTATTCTTAACTCAGAATCCAAAGCACAAAACAAGGCCAGGCAGGGCCAGACTCCGCTGTAACCCCACAGAAAGCTGAGGGACAGACAACACACACAAGCTCCTCAATGCTCTCCAGTGCAGGGTGGCCCTGGCTCC